ACCCCTGTCAACGCACGACAGTCTTTCTTCTCTGACATCATTACCAAAAACAAAAACAACGCACGTGCCTTGTTTGCTACCGTCGATAGACTAACTAACCCCCCAGTGTCAGTAGCCTCTGAATTTCTATCCACCAGGGCGTGCAATGATTTTGCCTCCTTCTTCACTGACAAAATTCAGAAAATCAGACAAGCAGTCAGTGTCTCTGTATCAGGTACAGCAAATGTGTTGTCCCTATGTCCACCTAATATCAATTCAGACATCATGACACAATTCCATCAGATTAATGATAAAAACCTAGAGGACATTATTCAACTTCTGAAATCCTCCTCCTGCTGCCTTGATATTATTCCAACAGGATTTTTCAAAGATGTTTTTCGTTGCATGGCCTCAGATCTACTTCATATAGTAAACAAATCTCTTCACTCAGGTATTTTTCCACATGCCCTGAAAACTGCAGTCATTAAACCGCTCTTAAAAAAGAATAATCTAGACGCTTCAGTAATGAACAATTACAGGCCCATATCAAACCTGCCATTTCTAGGTAAAATCATTGAAAAGGTTGTTTTTCAACAGTCAGGCTTTCGTCCAAACCACAGCACTGAGACTGCTCTTGTAAAGGTCTTCAATGACATCCACTTAAACACAGACAGTGGCAGAACTTCAGTGTTAGTATTATTAGATCTCAGTGCTGCGTTTGACACTGTTGACCACAACATATTACTCGACCGACTAGAAAACTGGGTAGGACTTTCTGCAACAGTTCTAATTTGAATCCTACTTAAAGGACAGAAAATACTTTGTTTCTATAGGTAAATACACATCTGAGTTGACAAATATGACATGTGTGNAGCTTTGCCTTCGAAAAGCTGAACGCAGGTGGCGAAAAACAAATCTCCAGGTTCACTTTGAAATCTATAAAGAGAGACTTGGCCTTTATAATTTGGAATAATTCCAAATTATAAAGGCCAAGTCTCTCTTTATAGATTTCAAAGTGAACCTGGAGATTTGTTTTTCGCCACCTGCGTTCAGCTTTTCGAAGGCAAAGCTTTTAACATCATATGATTGTCACGATTCTCATGTCATGTCAAGTTTCTATGTCTAGGTTTGGGTATTTTGCTGTTCTCCCTGTCATGTTTTCCTCCTGGGTTATTGTCTGGTCCTTTTCCTGTCGTTAGGTTCCCTGGTGTGTCTAGTTGTCTGAAGTTGTTCACCTGTGGCCCTTGTATTTCTCCTCCCCTGCCCAGCTGTTTCTCGTCTTGTGATTACCCCTCCCTGTATTTAGTCTTGTCTCTTCCTGTGTTCAGTGTTGGTGCTGCTTTTGTTTGTGACCTAGTTCACCGTAGAGTGTTTTGTTTGTCCAAGTAGAATTAAGTCCTTGAAATAAAGGTATTATCAAGTGTTATCTGCGTTTGGGTCCTACCTGCTTCACTCTGCGTATCAGAAAGCACCAACCAAGAAATGGGCCCAGCAGATCCGTTCGAGCTGGAATTAGTGAATTTTTCCTTTTTTTGGCTAACTGCTCGGATCGATGGAAGAGAGCACCCTGAGTTCAGCAGCGGGAGGCTGTGTTGTCAGAGGCGCGCCAGATGGCTATCGAGAAACCAGGTTTGGTGAAGTTCTTACCTGGCTGGATTTCAAAGATCCTCTCGGTGTGTGATTCCCGGCCTGCTAGCCCAGGGCATGCTAGCTCCCTGTCTCCCAATTCCCAACCTGGCACCATACGCCTCGGTGGGTTCCGTCTGAAGTCAACCCATGCTTCTGCCCCAGTTCCTGCTCCTGTCCAGGAGTCGTATTCTGGAACTCGTCTGGCATATGGAGGTCCACGGAGCATTCAGGCGGCTGCTAAGAGAAGGAGTCGCAAGGCCAAGCTAGCAGCCCGAGCCCCAAGAGCCATGGTTCCAGCCCCAGTACAGGCCCCAGCAGCCATGGCTCCATGCTCCAGTACCGGCCCACACAGCCATGGTTTCGTGCTCCAGTACCATCCCACACAGCCATGGTCCCGTGTTCCGTTTCCGTGCCCAGCAGCCATGGTTCCGGCTACGGAACCGGCCCACACAGCCATGGTTCCGGCCCCAGTTCCGGCCCCAGCAGCCATGGTTCTGGCTTCAGTACCGGCCCCAGTACCCATGGTCCCGACTCCAGTTTCGGCTCCAGGACTGGCTTACCGGCCAACGCCAGCTCCCCGAGTTCTGTCGGCGTACCGGCCAACGCCAGCTCCTCGTCTCCTGTTGGCCGTGAGCCCCGGCCGCACGCATGCGGCTGTCCTGAGCCCAACGACCGCAGCCGACTTGTCGTTTCCTCTGCTCGCTAGACCTCGCCG